TCGTCCGGCGGTCCTCCCCTTCTACTTGGACCATCCAGGCACGACCCGCTTCTTCTTCTCCGCTCCTGCCCCTGCCCCTGCCCCTGCCCCTGCCGTCGCGGTAGCGGCTTCGTGTCTGCCGCCCGCCTGGCGCTCCGCCGCCGCGGCCACCGTCGCATCCGCCTTCTTCTTGCCGCTCGACGGCGATGCGGTGGCAGTCGTCGCCGGCCGCGTCGGCTTCCTCAACGGTGGTGTCGCAGCACCGTGCCCTCCCGTCGCAAAGCCGCTTGTGCTGGCAGGCGCTGTCGACGAGGCGATCTTGGCGTCGCTGCTGCCGTCGTCGCGCTTGTAGAAGAGCAGGTACGCCAGCCCGTCGTGCCCGACCGGCGCATTCTTGCCAGCCATACGGACGACGTGCTCGGTCGGGATCGTCGAAAACGTCGTGTCGTCAATGTGCAGCCAGGAGCGGCTGTCCTGGCGCAGCACGTCGACCGTGTAGTGTCCTCCCGACGCGTAGCGGCCGTGATGGTAGACGACTGCGGTGCGCGTAAAAGCAACGGGAACCCCAGAGAGAAGCGCATCAGCGAGCCGGATGGCAGACAACAGCACCGAGCCGACGCGATCGACGGGCCGAGGGGGCTCAACTCACCGCCAAACAGCTTGTACTTGGGTCGCCCCTGGGCGCGCATCGCCGGGCTGAGCGCTTCGCCGGCGATCTCGAGGGTGGTGCCGTAGGCAAGCGGCTTCTGGCTCTTCTGGACGCCTCCGACCTCGTCGTAAACGAAGCGCTTGAGGTGGACGATGAGAATTGGAGGCAGGCTCTCGATAAAGACCTGCTTGGTGGCGTCGATGTGTGCGCCCTTGGCCGGCGAGTACACGCCAGGGATCACCTCGGGCACCGTCAGGTTGACGAGGGCGTCTTCGATCGACTGCACGTGCGGAGGCTGGATGTCGAGCTGCAGCGGCTGGTACGGCTCGAGAGTGACGCTGTCCTTGGCGCCGGGGCACCGCAGCACGCTGCGCAGCTTGCCGCCAAAGATGCGAGTGATGGGCGAGTCGGACGTCGACGTGGTGCGCGTGAAGGCTGTCTTGCCCTTCTGCCCCACCTCCATCCAGCCTTCCTCGGACGGGCTGACGGGGCGCGTCACCTCGCGCTCCTCGACCTCGTCGTCCAGCCCGAGACCCAGCATCGACCCGTCGGTGGATGCGCTGCCGTTGGCGCCCGAGCCATCGCGCGCGCCGCCCACCTTGACCCCGAGCCGCTTGAGGTCTGCGTCGGTGACGCCGTTGAGGCGCTTCTCCTCTTCGCTCATTCGCGAAAGCAGGCTATTGGCGCCGGAGCCGGACTGAGCCAGCTTGGCCGCCGAGCGTCGGATGGCCCCGATTAGCTCCTCGTGCAAAGTGTCGAGGAAGAAGCCCAGAAACTCTTCCGCATCCTCCTGGTGGCCACGCTGTACGAGATGGGTAGGTGCCAAGCGACGCAGATACAAAGACAAGGAGAACGAGACAGCAGCTTCAGTAGGCGGCGACTGGCCGGCGGGATACGCGTAGCCCGAAGGCGCTCAAGTAGCAGACTCACCCTCATCTGATCAAACCGCTTGTTGAGCCGCATCGCCTCATAGACAAACTCTGGCACAAACGGCTCGCTGGCGCCCGGTGCAAAGGACGACACCGCCTCGTGCTCGCCGCTGTCGTCGTGCTCGCCTCCAGCGCCATTGACCTGAGCTGCCGTGTCGACCAGCACAAACTCCCGCAAGAAATGGATACTGTGGGAACGCGGATCAGAGGAGGTCCGATGCGGTCAGCCTGCGCTGCCCGGGCAAAGGTGACGAAGCCGTGGCGCGTAGCCTGTCCAACTCACACAGCCTCCATCAGCGGCGTGGCGTTGCCAAAGTCGGCCGGCACCTCTCGCCCGATCAAAGTAAAGAGGTTGTAAAAGGGAGCGCAGTAGACGAGCATTTGGAGGATCTGCAGGACCGCACGGTGGGAGCACAAGTGGAGGGTGGACGAGGATGTCAGCATCGACCAAGACATGCGACTGGGAGACCGCACGGGCAGCCGTCGACTCACGGCGTTGGCAAAGCAGAAGTTGCCGGTGTTGACCAGGCCTCGCGGATGGGTGAGCGGGGCTTTGAAGGACTTGTGCGAGTCGGCCAGCATGCGCTCCAAGCTCATGACGGCAGGCTTGGCCGGTCCCGACGCAGCGTGGTGCCTGGATCCCGCCTCGCCAGCACCCACGCCGCTCTTGCGCCTTCCGTTGGCGGCGGGTCGCGGCGAACGAGAGGGCGATCCCGTCTCTGAAGCATCGGCCTGCGAACCGGCAGCGGTCTCGCCAAAGTTGACGCTGATGCCGACCGCTCCCTGACGGCTGGATGCCGCGCCGCTACGGGAGGCGAGCTCAGCCCAGGATTTCGGCGCGCCCCAGGCGGCTTTCTTGGGCGCGGGAGACGCGGCAGCCTGGGGAGTGCTGGCTGTGCTGGCTGCGGCTTCGCTCTTTGCCTGGCTGTCGAGGTCGGCCACGCTGGTCGCCTCTGTCAGGACAGAGGCGGCAAGGTCGGGTGCGTCGGCGGTGGCGGGCGACGACGGGTGCGTCGAGATGAGCGATGGAGCAGGTGTGGCTTCGGCGGGCGTGGTGGAGGCGGTATGCGTCGCCGTCGAGCTGCTCTTGAGCCGCGAAGGATCTGCTGAGGGAGATGACGATGTTATTGTCGCTGCTGTTGCTGATGGTGGCGGCGGTGTTGCTGAGGATGTTACAGATGCAGATTTGCTGGCGATCGGGGCTCTACGGGACGAGGACTGACGAGGCATGGAGCGGAGAAGAGAGGCGAAGGAAGGGAACTGGGACGGATCGGGAGAAGAGCGGTAGGAAAGCGTGAGGGCGGGGGCGGTGCGGGGCGAAGGCGGGTGCAGCGCTACGCCCCAAGACTTGCCGTCGGCGCCGCCGCTACCAAACGACGTCGAGTCTGGGATGGACTGGAAGAGGGGATCCCGCTCAGCCCTTTTGCTGCTGCTGCTGCTGCTGCTTGCGGCACGACTGGCGCGTGGTCTGGCCGAGGGTGGCGGTTTCCCGTCGGCCGTTGCGGCGGCAGTGAAGACAGCAGCGTGTGAGGAAGCAGAGCCCGACGATGCGGCCTCGCCGGATGTAGACAAGGATGGTGCGGTGGCTGCCAGCTTGAAAGACGAGCGCCTGGGTGAGGCGGCGGGGGAGAATTCGGTGGAAAAGACCAGGCCGCCCTCTGAGCTTTCTGGCAGGAGGCTGAGGCTGGCGTAGGAATGGGATGCCAAGGAAGAGGTCGACGCCTGCGCCTGTGCTGCGTGCCGCGACGAGCTCACACCCGGAGAGCTAAAAGAGGCGGCCGGTATTGAAGAGTGAGACGAGGGAAGGTGCGCTGCCGACATGATTGTGGTGTTGGGTGGCGGGGATCGTGGAGCTGCGACGGCGGCGGCAGCGGCAATGATGGGGTGACCGCCCGTCTTGGGCTGGACTCTAGCTGCAGTCGAGTGCCTACGAAGAGCTAGAGGCAGTGCCTTTTGCCGATCGACTGTGCTGGGAGCAGTGGCGGGATGCAGCTGCGGAGAGGCGTGCGTGAGGTGATGCCAGAGGGGCACGGCTAGCTACCTGGCGAGGTGTGATAGGCGGCCGAGAAACCAGAGCGCTGGTAAGCCAAGATGGTGCTGGCTATGCGCTTGCGAGGATCTGAGCGAGTGAGGCTTGGTGAAGAAAGCCGACTAGGCTGGTGGCGGTGGTGCGGAGCCTTGGAAGATGAGGTGGCGCTACTTTGCCTTTTTTGGGAGGGAGCGGCGGAATGGTCCAGGATGATGGCGGGTGCAGGAGGTGCAAGATGCGCACGTCGAGCTGCGAGCAAAGTAGACGAGGGAGCCTGTGTGGAGTTAGCAGGCGGCGGCGGTGAGGGTGACGAGGATGAGGCTGAGGATGAGGGTGGTGAAGGGTGAAGGGATGCGGCCGATGACGACGACGACGACGACGACGGGGATAGCCAGCCCGGCCGGCCAGCGGAGCCAGCGTGCGTGCGTGGCTGCCTGTTGGCCTGGCCGGGCTGGGGCTGACTGCCTTGTTTGTGAGCTGCCTGAGCTGGTTGGCCTGGCTGGAATTGCGGGATCGGGAAGGTAACTAATCGATGGATTTTTTCTTTTTGGTTTGGCCCCCCACGCGCTCTCTGCTTCGCTGCTTCGCTCGGTCAGACGAGCTGGGTGATGGGCGTGGCCAGCCTCTGGCGGAACCGAGTCGGTGTGACTTTGGAGGCAAGCGAAAAATTGGCAGCGCCAGGGCTAGGCTGGGCTGGCTGGCCACGCGCAGGCTGCCCCGCCAGCTTTTTGGGTGCGGGGGGCGTGCACCTCCTCACCCGGCTGGGCTGCCCTAGCCCACTTGCCCTCTCGCCCTCTCGCTCTCTCTCGCTCTCTGGCGAAGGGGAAAAAAAGTGTTGACCACCACCTCGACTCACTTCGCCCTCGCCATCGCTGTCACCCTCGCCATATCCGCCACCATCACCCCTTTGCTTTGGCCCTCGGCTCTCACGCCGCTCAAACCAGCATCATCCTCCGCGCCCATCAACGCATCGCTTCCCCACATTCACCCCATCACACACACAGATCAGAAACGCACACTCTGCCTCCCACATCCTCTCGTCTCTTGCATCACCCGCTTCTCGACTCCAATATGGCCTCCAACGCCCGCTCATGACTCGGCATTCTCGCTCGTCAAGCAGGCTGCTCCCTCACACCTGCCTGCAAACACGCTCAAGCTTGACCAACGCCCTCTAGCCCGCCAGCCAGCCTCACCCACCTCGGATACCAACGTCGCCGCCTGCCCCTGCACACCCTAGCCCCTCCTCTTGTCCCCCCGCCACTCCCAAACATGTCCTCCGCAGGCGACTCGACCGCGGCATCGCTGGCGGTCCAGATTGAGCAGGATCAGTCCACAGCCGTCGATCAGCTCACTCACGCCCTCCAAGCAGCCACCACGGCAGATCCGGCCGCCAAGGATACATCGGCAACCCACACCCAGTCAAACGGCTCGCCCGCGCCCGCCCTAGCCGCCAGCACCCTTTCGCTGCCAGAGAGCGCACCATCGTTGGCAGCCTCGCGGTCAAACACGCCCGCGCCCGCCGTCGTGCCCTCGATACCCTCGGCATCGCCCTCTGAATCCTTGGCGTCGCTTGCGTCGTCCCTGGTACCAACAGCGCCGGCCGCGCCCATCGACGATACCATCCTCGGCGCGCTCAAGAACTCCAGAGACCGCGTCTTCTACATGCAGCACGAGCGCGAGATGGCCCTGTTTGTCCGCGACCCGGCAAGGCAGAGGCTCGACCTACCCCTCATGAACACCTACCAGCGTCTCCTCGTACATCGCTGCGCAGACCAGTTCAACCTCGACCACCAGCTCGACCCAACAACCCGCGCCGTCAGTCTCACAAAGACGCCAGAGACCTGCATGCCCGAGCTCCGCATCTCGCAGAGGGTCGCCGCCCTCTTTGGCGACCGCGAGAGCGGCTCGGGCAAGGCATCGCCAGCTCAGGCCTCGACGCCTCCGCACAACCCGATGGCTGGTACCGCTGCTTCCGCTGCGTCCTCCTCCTTCGCCTCCGCTGCCGCCGCTGCAGGCGGCGATCTGGCCTCTGGCACCTCTTCCGCCGTCACCTCGCCGGTCAGCGCCGGCGCCACACCTCCGCCGCCTTCAGGCTTCCGCATCATGCGGAGAAATCCGACGGCCAGCTCTCGAGGCAGCCAGACGCCCGCCGCCTCCACCTCTGGCTCCAACAGCGATAGCGAGCGGAGCGAACTTGCGGGCTGCGGCAAAGCCGTCCGCAAGGATCGCAAAAACATGACCATCGAGGAGCGCGAGGCGGCGTACAAGGCAGCGCGAGAGCGCATCTTTGGCAAGGCCGAAGCCTCGGACGCTCCAAAGGCGGACGACAAAAAGGGAGGGGCGTCGGCAACCGCTTCCAGCACCAGCGGAAGCAACGCCTCGGTCAGCGGCAAGCCAAGCAAACAGAGCGGCTCCAGCAGTGGAGGAGGAGGAGGAGGCGGCGGTGGTGGCAGGAAAAAGGCGGGCGGGAGCACATCCCTGTCCGGCAGCCAGAATGGGAGCACCGAGTCGTTCTCCCGCGGCAGGAACTCTGCCAACCGCAAGGCGGACGCTACGCTTCCGGCCGACGACGACCTGCTCGGCTATTCGCGCAACATGGTTCCGCCATCGACGAGTACAGGCCTGTGGAGGCCCCAGGGCCAGGTGCAGTCGCAGCCCAAGCAGGCTGGCAAGGACTCACCGCTCGGCTTCCCTGTCCTCGGCGTCGGCGACGACGGGGGACCTGCGGTCGCCCAAGATGCCAGTCTCCTGCCCATGCCGCACTACGCGGCCGGGCCCGCCGGCTCGGCCGCAGCAATGGCAGCCCAGTACGGTTACCCTCCCGCCATGTCGATGCAGCCACAGGCGAGGCAAGCCTGCGGCGGCTATCCAGGAGATCTGCAGGCTGGCTTTGGCGGCGCGCCTCGTACAGCCGGTGCATCGTCGTCGGCGCAGGCGAACAATCTGCGGGCAAAAGCTCCCGTCTTTCTGCCGCCGGGCTCGCAAGGGATCACCGGCCAGTGGTCCTACACGCCGGAGACAGGTGGCTCAAGGGGGCCATCGACGCCGGGCTCGGAGGGCTCGTACGGCGCGGGACCGAGGCAGCAGCAGCAGATGCTGATCGGTGGCCACCAGTTCTTGGGCGCGGACCGCGACGCCTTCTCGCCCTTCCCGCCATCGAATCCCAGCTCTGCAGGTGGTTCGAGATCGACGTCGACGTCCAGCTCGGGAGGGCGTGGGCTAGCCTCGGTCGCAGTTGGCGGGTCCGGAGCTGGTGATGCATTCCCAGCACTGCCAGGCACCTCGATGCAGGCCGTCAAACGTCAGCAGACCGCGAGCCCGGTCAGCGCCTGGAAGCTGGCGCCCGAGACGAACGGCGCCGGCCCCAATGCGTGGGACGCTACGGGGCAGCTGCAGCAGGGCCAGGTGATGGCGATGAATGGCGGATCACAGCCTGCGGTGCCGCAGCAACCGTGGATGATGGGCCCCAACGGAGCCGCCTGGGCGCACCAACAGCAGCCGTTCGCTAGCTCCGGTGGGCAACGAGGACCGGCGAGAGGTGGTCCTAGCTACAACGGTCAAGGCGGGCCGGGCTGGGGCTGCGGCTTCCACGCGCAGGGCCATGGGCGCTACCCGAGGGCCTCCAGTTCATCGAGTCTGAGCGCCACGGGATCTCTGAACGGCAGCCAGACAGCACCGCCGAGCGGCAGCAGGGACGACAGCATGAGCGCTACTGTGAGTCGCCAGCAACACGGCCGGCCCACCCTCTCGATGAGCTTGGTTCCTCGCGCTGACATGACTGTGGAAACTGCGTTCCGTCCTTCGTTTCCACCTCGGTGCATCCTCGATAGTCGACGTCGTCGTCGCGCTCGTCGCAGGTTGTCGGTCCGTCGAGCAGCACGAAGATCTCGCACCCTTCGCTGCCGTCGAAGCCGTCCTGGATCCAGAAGAACGGAAGCGGGAGCGAAGCGGGCACGCCGTCGATCCGAAGTCAGGGCGTCGCTTCGTCCGGTCACGCCAGCGGTAGCAGTCAGACGCCGGCGGCGGCGGCGGCGACCACGGCGACGGCTGCCGTGGTGGACACTGCTTCGACGTCGGCCGCGTGACGAGGACGTGACAGCCGCTCATCGCCTCGCCTCGCCTCGCCTCGACTGCTCCTCTGCTCGCTCAACGAGTGTGGTCCACTCGCATGCCCATGCACCTGCCCTACTGCTTGCTCCCCACCCATCGTCGCACCGGCCTGTACCTCGCAGCATCCCCTCCATTGACATTATACAGCCAACACAGCCGCCACTCCGCGTCGTCGCCCCTTTGTCTGGGAGTGCTCGACGAGCGCTCGTGATGCGCCATCGGCCATCGGCAGGCGTTCATCGAGTGGGTACATGGGTTCATTCCATAACGATATCGAGATAGGGGATGGGCGGAACGAGGACGTGGAACAGCCGGAAAGAGAGAGGGAACCAGAGAGACGCGGAGAGAGAGAGAGAGAGAGAGAGAGAGAGAGAGAGAGAGAGAGAGAGAGAGAGAGAGAGAGAGAGAGAGAGAGAGAGAGAGAGAGAGAGAGAGAGAGAGAGAGAGAGAGAGAGAGAGAGAGAGAGAGAGAGAGGAGACGAGACGAGAGAGACGGACGAGACGGACGAGAGACGAGAGACGAGAGAGAGAGAGAG